AAGCAACTCAGTAGCGAAGAAAGCCCTGTCGCCCAATAGCCGGAACGGCTTATCAAGGAGGCCACATGGAAGCAAGTAAGGACATGTAACTTACAGCCCGACTTGTACGGTAGCAGTGGCAGTAGTACCACCCGAGACCGCAAAGCAGCAAAATCCTAAACCCTAGACCCTAAACCCGACAGCCGAATCTCACTAATCTGGAAGCTTTGAAAGCACAACATTATACAAACATATCCAAACTTCCCCCCCCATTAAGGAATCTCATGACCGACGGTGTCCTCGCATTGCCTGTGGCAGACTTTCCATTGACACTGGTGGATTTGAACCCCATCATTTTGAACGTGCTCGAAACAATGTTCCTTTTGTTTGACCACAAGGACCTCCCAATGTTGGAAAAACACCTCTCGCCAGGATTATCGCCATGGCTGTGTCCAGGTATTGGGTTTCCAAGCTAGACAGCAAGAACGTCCCAGCATACCGCGAAGCAGAGGCGAACCAGGCAGGAAAGATCGGCCGGATATTTTCGACGACGGCACCTTGCCCGAACAGCCTCTCAGAAAGCTTAAGGGGTTTTGTGACGTCGGCAATACAGTAATGACAAAGGAAAGGTGGGGTGCGGCCAAGTTTTCCCAAGGGCAACTTCGCATCTACGTGTCGAATGACTTGGATTTGAGCTCGGAACCCCTCACCCGCGGATCAGGCCACACCATCACGTTCCTCAAGATGATAGAGCCATCATGGATGAGGGGTACCGGCACGTCCGACATTCAAGCAGTACTCAAGCGAACCGGCATTTTGGTGGTCACCAACAAGTATTTCTACTATCGTCCTCCTACCGACCAGCCGGTTTCAGTTAACCGCATTTCTTTGGAGCGTCCAGAATCTCTTCTTCGTGAGGAAAGTGGTTCAGAATATGTCAAATACTTGAAGGGTCATCGTGAACCTCCGCAAGAGTCCCATGTTCGCTGGGAACAGGCATGGATGCGCAGTGTTATGGACAATCATGGTTTGAACAAGCCGGAGTTGCCATACGAGATTCGCGGCCGCGGACTTTTCGATGCTCCTGATGCTCCTCGTCGTAATCGTCTCGTTGTGCCCGCACCTGTTAAGGAGGACAGTCGGCTATTTGTTTTAGGTATTAAACTATTAGGTGAGTTGCTTTCACAAATCATGAATCCAGACAGAAACGTGGTTAACAAAATGGGGCTTTTTTTTGGGGAGCTCTCCTTAACAACATCGGCATGGTCTGAGGGTTCAGGAAGAAATCACAATAGTAAGGTTATTGGTGTTAGTATTCGTTAACCGGTACAGTCTTAAAAATAACTTGGTGTTGTTATGGGATACATCAGACAGGAGCCTATTACTTTCAACCGTGCCCGCACCTGTTAAGGAGGACAGTCGGCTATTTGTTTTAGGTATTAAACTATTAGGTGAGTTGCTTTCACAAATCATGAATCCAGACAGAAACGTGGTTAACAAAGTGGGGCTTTTTTTTTGGGAGCTCTCCTGAACAACGTGGGGATGGTTTGAAGGTTCAGAAAGAAATCACAGTAGTAAGGTAAAAGTTATTGGTGTTTGTATTCGTTAACTGGTACAGACTCAAATTACTTGGTGTTGTTATGGGATACATCAGACAGGAGCCTATTACTTTCAACCGTGCCCGCATCTGTTAAGGAGGATAGTCGGCTGTTTGTTTTAGGTATTAAAATAATAGATGAGTTGCCCCACAAATCATGAATCCAGACAGAAACGAGGTTAACAAAATGGGGCTTTTTTTGGGGGGAGCTCTCCTTAACTACATCGGGTTATTGGTGTTAGTATTCGTTAACCGGTACGGTCTCAAAATAACTTGGTGTTGTTATGGGATATATCAGACAGGAGCCTATTGCTTTCAACCGTGCACTCAGCGGCTTGAACAACGTGGTATTGGATTGGGATTCGCCTCCTCGGCAGAAGATCAAATCAGAGATCGCTTCGCCCCCTCAGAAGAAAATCAAAACCGAGACCCCCACCATCAAAAACGAGCCATCCGCATCACATGTTCCGTTGCCCGCCCTTCATGGTGTGATCAATCTCCTATCGGATGATGATGAGTCTCCCTCGTCGGCCGCGCATGCGAACCATGCGGAACCAGCCGAAGCTGAGGCAGTTTTCGTTTATTGATCTTGTCACATGTCTCATTGTATAGAGCACGGTAGGTAACACTCAAGATGCATACCATATTCATTAATCATAAATACTACACAAAGGCATGTAGTGAAGCACCTGGAACACGTGTTTTATGTGGGTTTGGTAAGCAGGTATCACCGTCGCATACAGGACCGCCAAATCCGAACTTTGCAGATGAGGAAGGAGACGAAATGGACATCGAGGATCACATGGACGTTGAAGACCAAGCGGACTTTTTCGGGTTGGACGACAATCGCAGAGACTGATAACTTTGAAATGTATGGGTTTACAATAGTGCACAAATCATTACATGAGTATGCCATCTCATATAATTATCATGATCATGTTTAAAACAGTTGACGATGAAACATACCATGTATCATACCGTCTCCTCATAGATGTTGCTTGATGTTGAGTGAAAGCAATCGTACCAATAGCAGGCAATGGCACTGCGCAGTGTCTAGATTTTGACGGGACGTGGCGGAGCATCAAAATCAGATCACGTTTTGTTGCATCTCGTTTGTTTTGAAGCTCTTCACCAAGCAGATATATCAATCAAAATGCACTTGCTGTTGCTTGTTCTCAAGTATGTCAGTGTAGATTTCACTCCATCCCGTCTTTTGTATCTGATTCCGGAATGCCGAAGAAGGTTATGAAATCCATCAAGAAGACCGCCAAACCATGGCAAGAACCCAAACGAGGCAAACATCGTGTGCAGAGGAGGCTCGCTACCACAAAGTATATCAAGGTTCCGTATGACGGAAACGACCACGCAGCGAGTGGTCAATCAGCGGTGGGGCATATCCGTGCAGACCATAATGTCATTGAGACGGCGACGTCTTGTCACGATGCTCAAGAACACCGGGGTTTTACCAGAGTGGAAAGGGAATGTTTGTCCCAGATGTGGAAAGGGTAAGATGGGAGACCTAAGGTACAATAAGATCTCCAAGGTTTGGGCTCATCGTTGCAACAACTACAAATGCCACAAGTACCTACAGCCCCACGACTATCATCCTGTGTTCTTCATGGGTGCCGGCAATTCGAACACTCCCCTACATGTTCAAGCGTCCATTCTTCTATGTGCTACAGCTGGTGTCAAAGAATCAGCGACCCATCTCCTTTTCGACATTGCAAAGAAACCCGTGGAAAACATTTACAAGAACCTTGAGGTTGCTACGAGCATGTATGTGATTGCCAAAGAGAAGAACATCACCTACGGTGGTTGGCGGGATGTTGAAGTGGACGAAGTTGACGTCGGGAAGTTCGTAGATACTTCTGTCCATGATGTGAAGAATACCTCATGGGAGCAATGGGGAGGCATGGTGGAAAGAGGCAACCCCGCTACCCTTCGCTTGTTTCGCTTGAACCCCAGTAAAACAAAAAAGAATGCACCCGGCCCTGGTCCAATCAAAAAGCGAGACTGGGCCCCACTTGCCCGCAAGCACCTCATGAACAAGAATGTTGTACTGCATTCTGATGGTGCCCGCGCTTACGCCATGGAGTTCCCCGGAATCAAGCATTGCAATGTCGTGCACAAGAAGAAACGACAAGTCGTGAATGGCAAGGCTGGGTGTTATACCTCAAATGTTGAATGGCGTAAGGTATTAATCAAGAACTTTTTCCGTACATTTGACTGTGTATGTTGGGTTTCAGATTCAGGTTTTTCGTAATGTGAAGGCCGTTTGGGTCCGACCACACTACACGAAGAACTACGTCATTGACATACCGGAGCAGGGTAAGGTCACGGTGAAGAGTGGGAAACAGATCACGACAGATTCTGGGGCACCTTGCGAACCCACTTGAGGTATGTGTCACGCCTTCCGGGCAATCACGCCTTGACTAGGAAAATTCGGAGCTGTCAGTTTGAATACTGGCATCGGCACCAAAACATGTGGAAGGTCACGGGCAATATGCTCAAGTTTTTGCACAAGAATCTTCCTGGAACGAGGAAGGCCAAGTTTTG